AACTGTTTTCCACCATGTATTTAAAAGATTTGTAAAAGTGTAAAACAAAGCTACTCAGTGAATTTTTTTTGCTTTAGAAAGGTTATTTTGGCTCAGTGGTTGAGTGTGGACCTATGAGCCAGGAGGTTGAAGTTCGATTCTTGGTCAGAGCACATGCCCAGGTTGCAGGCTCCATCCCCAGTGTGGGGTGTGCAGGAAGCAGCCAATCAATGATTCTCTCTCATCATTGATGTTTCTATCTCTCCCTCTCCCTTCTTCTCTGAAATCAATAAAACTATATTAAAAAAAAAAGAAATGTTATTTTGCATAAAGTGTTACTTATGTTTACAAGTATTGGATTAATTAAATGAGTTAATAAATATTTTGAAGTTTTGATAGATTTAATTTCAAACAGTATAAATACACATAGAACTATTTATACATACAAAATCTTGGCAGCCCTTAAGTTGGATGTAAAGGGGCCCTTTTACCAAAAAAGTTTGAGAATAGCTGAAATATAGTTTTATTTAGTAAACACTTTTCAGTACTGTGGCCACTAGCCACTTGAGGCTATTGAGTACAGGAAATGTGGGTGAGAAACTGGATTTTTAAAAATTTTAATTAATTTAAATGTAAAAACTTAGCAGTGGAAAACTTTGTCAATTACATGTTGAAATGACATCTTGCATATACTGGATTAAATGAAAGGTATTAATTTGACCTGCTTTTAATATAACGAAATTTAAGAATTATATGTAGCTCATGTTTTATATATGTAATATATTTTTATTGATTTCAGAAAGGAAGGGAAGGGGAGAGAGAAACATCAATGATGAGAATCATTGATCAGCTGCCTCTGGCATGCCCCACATCGGGGATGGAGCCCACAACTGGGGTATGTGTCCTGACTGGAACTCGAACGGTGATCTCCTGGCTCATAGTTCCACACTCAACCACTGAGCCATGCTGGCCTGGCTCATGTTATGTTTTTATCACATAGCTCTACTTTAGAAAATAATTTTATTTTCTTTCCCTTTTAAACCTTATAACAACTATTGATGAGAAAGTTAAAGGGGAACAGGTAAAGATGAGAATGTCCCAGGCCTTTACCTTTTCCCTCTTTTCATAGCATTCATTCATATTCTTCACTCACCCGTTATGTCATACATAGCCTTGGGGCATTAGAGGATAAGGTGTGGTAGATCAGATAGTTGAGTGATGACCTTGTAATGTTTATGGTCTTGCTTGTAGGGGGATACCACTATCACCTAATGAAGTGTTTTCTGATTTTTTTTCCCATTGCTCTTAAGTTAAATTGCTATCAAGTTACATTTTTGACTTTTAAGAACATTGTTATGAACTAGGTCCATTGCCAGCATTCTCTTCTGCAAAGCTGAGAGGTATGTCTCTTGTCAGACTTAATTACCAAGTTTGGTATTTAGTAACAGCTGTTGAGTGAGTCTGGAATAATCTACCATACAAACACCAGTTGATTAGAAAGCTAGAAACAAACAAGAAGACCTCTTACCAATGGTAAAAGAAGGCATAAGCAAATTTAATGGCCCTATGATTAAAATTAAAATAGTTTTGAAATTTATTTGATAGATTTATTTCTTCAAGGAGTATTTACCAGCAACACCAACTAGTAGTGTTAACTAGAAAAAAACTCTTAGATTACTTTTAGCTTCATTGTTTCTATTTTTAAAATGAGTTGCTTATTATTTTCTCCCACATTTTTAAAATATATTTTATTGATTTTTTTACAGAGAGGAAGAGAGAGGGATAGAGAGTTAGGAACATCGATGAGAGAGAAACATCAATCAGCTGCCTCCTGCACACTCCCCACTGGGGATGTGCCCACAACCAAGGTACATGCCCTTGACCAGAATCGAACCCGGGACCCTTGAGTCCGCAGACTGATGCTCTATCCACTGAGCCAAACTGGTTAGGGCTCCCACATTTTTTATACATAGGTTTAGATAGACTCCAGCAAGTCAGGTTTTAAGTGAGAAAAAAGGAATTTTCAGCCATTGCTTATAGTTTGCTTACTTTGATTACACAAAACTGTTAAATTTATGTTTATCCTTAAGAGTTGTGTAAAATTTTTAGTTTAAATTGTGTTTGAATTATTGAGCAGGACATCTAGTATTAAAAAGTTTTTGAAAATTACAGAAACTTGAAGAGGACAAATCTCTCTTAAATTCCTGTTATAAAAAATGACTTGTTGCCCTAGCTGGTTTGGCTCAGTGGATAGAGCGTTGGACTGCGAACTGAAAGGTCCTAGGTTCGATTCAGGTCAAGGGCACGTGCCCAGGTTGTGGGCTTGATCCCCAGTGGGGAGCTTGCAGGAGGCAGCCAATCAATGATTCTCTCTCTCCCTCTTCCTCTTTGAAATCAGTAAAAAATATATTTTAAAAAAAACAACTTGTTGACTTATGTCAATGAAAGAAAAGGGAGAAGATAGTGTCACTTTTTATAAAATGGGTGAAATATTCTTGGAAACTATCATGGGTACATTACTGTAAATTGATCTAAGTGATTTTGATTTCTTAGGTGTTCATTTCTTAAATAGGTGCTTAGGGTTATTTTAGTAAATAAAAATGACAAAAAATAAAATAAGCATAAAAGAAAGAAATCAGCACTCCTTTTAAACAAACTTAGCTTACAGAGTAACTTTAAATTAATTTTGCACTTTCATTTAGTTTTGAAATATTTTACTTCCATTTATGTTTTGTCATTATCTAGCTACACGAGGCCAGTGATCTAGTTACACTTATCGCAGTTTTATGGCATCGTGAGAAATGCTCAACAACCATTTGTCGATTGTATATAATTAGATCTTCTGATTGATACTTCATAGAAAACTTATGTATATTCCCATCCTACATTTAAAGTATGAATAAATAAGTTTTCTCCTTAAATTTGTATGTATTTTATTTGTTTTAATCTATAAATAGAAAATTTCTGGGAAAATATAATATGTTGAGGTCAGAAATAGAGGCAAGAAAATAATTTCCACTGACATAACTAATATGAAATTATGGTCTTGAAAATGTACCTCAAACTACTTAAGGACTCGGCAACATAATGTATAATTGCTAGACATATTTCATTTTTGTTTTATAACTTGAAAATCTGATATAATTCTATTGCTGTATTTTATCAAATACTTGAAGCTCTGATTTTAATACGGTAGTTTTTAGGGTATGTCTTAATACAATTACATAAGGAATTAGTTTACCCTGGATGGTTTATTAATAGCAGCTAAGACAACAGCTAAATTGCAACACAAGCAGACCTTGAAGAGAATGAAGTTCCTGGTATAAATTTTAAAAACTTGAGAATTTGCTTACCAGGATTCTTTATGTATGTGAGTATTATAGGGAGGTACTTTGAAGAATATACTTGAGAACCGCAGCATATTTATACTTACTAATACTGAGTTTCTTAAAGCTGAGCTGGAAGGACTGATTGAATCCTTTGCTTCAGTGAAGCTGCAGATAAGAGTAAGCAGGGTCACCTAAAGATAGATTTACTTAGAGGTTTGGCTGCCTCTCTGGAACCGGTCAGCTTTGAGCAGATTTCCATAAATGGACAGAGCAACTGGAGAGACCCAGTACCTTGGTTGAGAGTGTGGATGATGTGCAACAGGTGGTAAAAACAGTCACTGGATTTTTTTAAATAAATGGTCTCCAAACGACTGGTGTTTAAGGCTGAGCATTTGGGGAATTTTGAGACTAAGTGAATTTTTTTTTTTTCAATTAAAAGTTTCCTGGAAACAGTTTTAAAAGATTCATATCTTAAGTGTGTAGAACTTGTGGGTTTATAATATGGTTTTATGGAATTTGTATAAATACTTTCTTTTAGTTCCTTTAGAGGATTAGAAACTGTTACATATTCATGTTGCAGAACCCTTCACCAAGTAAACATTCAGTGTTTTAAATCAGGATATGAAATTAATATTTCATTAAGATAATAAGTTTGTTCTTGAATTGCCTATTTTCCTGTAGGGTCATTGGGTTGTTCTTAAATTTCAATACATAAAAGACATACTTGCCTGCGTACTATATGAAAGGTCTCTGTTAGGAACTAAAACAGATATGAAGATGAATTAATATAGCCACTCTGATCTCAAAGAGTTTATTGAATTTTTATCTATGTGTATGCTTTTTATGGGAGTCACCTCACTACTGTTTTGTATTAGGAAACCCGCCTTACAAGAAAGTAAATTGCTGGCCTAGGGTAACAGAAAGTACTGGTAGAAGTGGCAGAGGCTAGAACTCAAGCTCTTAGACCTGGAAGTCCAAACCTCTGCCGTACACTTTACTGCTTCACAAATAATTCAATCAGCAAAGCAATAAACTCAGTTCAAGGAGAGAGTTACAAAAGGTGGTAAAATTAAAAAAAGATTCATGGAAAACAAAACCAAACCATAAAAACTCTTTTAAAAAAAATTTCTTGGGTAACACCTGAAGGAGAGAGCAAGGTTATTGTGAAGGAAATTCCCACATGCTTTGGTGCCGCAGCTAATGCGCACACCCAGGAGGGTCTGTAGGAATTTAATTCATTAAAGTAACTTAGAAATATGTGTTTCTGACTAATTTTGATATCATGACCCCTGATTTTAGTAACAGTATATTAAAATATATAATTGACTTTAGGATTGTTAATTCACAACCATCCTTTTTCTCCATAGGTTAGTTTTGGCCTAAAATTGATACAGGTTTAAAATTGTAAGGGTTTTTCTTTGTTTTCCTTTGGATAAGTTTCAGAAATTTCTCAGTAATTGCTAGCCAATCTCAGTTGCTTTATAGTTAGCATTCATTTTACAAAGTGAGAATACTAGATTGTTTGTTGTTTAAAGCATCTCTATAAATAATTTACATAAACTAATGTATATCAGTGACTTAGAGTCATGCACATGAGAATTAATTTGTAGTTATGTCTTCTACAGCAGTGTGTTTTAATTTAGTAATGTGTTCAGTGCATTTTTAATTAAGTAGAACTTATTTTCCCCCCAGTGGAAGCATCAGTTCATAGCAGTAATGCACACTGTACAGATAAGACAATTGAAGCTGCTGAAGCCCTGCTTCATATGGAATCTCCTACCTGCTTGAGGGATTCAAGAAGTCCTGGTATGTGAATTTCCCTATTTATATTAAACCTGTCACATCACTTCATGTATCTAGAATGAAGTTTTTTAAGATACAGGGGCATTGTTGATGTTCTCAAGATGGGTTATACATGAATACCTGTGACAGCAGTACTTGATCTTTATTTGTCAAAGTACCCAAGTCTTAAATACTTAATTTTCATAATAAATGAATGCCCAGTATAGATAGACAAAAGTTTATTAAGTTGCTATTTAGACTATCATGTCTTCCTTAACTCTGGGTAAATTTATAAACCTTTGTACAATAGTCCTTAAGTGAATGGCAGATGGGTGTTTGCCTCCTATGACCACTTTCAATTCTTTAGTCTGTGTTAAAGTGACTCCAGGGAACCATACATTGTGGAGAGGAGAGGATGCTTCCACCATTTCCTTATACTCCCTTCAGGCTGTGAGTTTTTCTTTTCTTTTGGTCCCTTTTTTTCTTTAAGGCTGCCTTTGAGATTTATGTTGTCCTAATTTTCATTTGCCCTAATTTTAATATTCTGATGTTAATTTAACTTGATACAGTAAGTTTGAACCTCCTTCTTCTTTCTTTTTTTCAATATATTTTTATTGATTTTGGGGAGAGAAGGAGGGAGAGATAGAAACATCAATGATGAAAGAAAATCATTGATTGGCTGCCTCCTGCATGCCCTCTATTGGGGATTGAGCCAGCAACCTGGGCATGTGCCCTGACTGGGAATTAAACCGTGACCTCTTGGCTCATAGGTCAGTGCTAAACCTCTGAGCCACACATCTGGGCTGGACCTTCTTCTTACAGGATTTTACAATAAATACTAAGAGTAACCAGACTTTTAAAGTAAAATAGGAATCCTATGTATTCACAAGTATGAAAAGAAAATTAGGACATATTGGTCGGTGTGTTAATCCATGAGAGTAGGTATTAACTGTCTCTTTATTGAAATAGAAATGTCATCCTGATTATTTATGCACATTGGAAGAAAGCCGGGACAACATTATTGTGTGTAATAGAGTGCCAAATAGCAATCTTTATGTACTGTTTTAGTGACCCAAAATTCAGGGCTGTTTCATTAAATAAAGCTTTTTTTTTTTTAATATATTTTATTGATTTTTTACAGAGAGGAAGGGAGAGAGATAGTTAGAAACATCGATCAGCTGCCTCCTGCACATCTCCTACTGGGGATGTGCCCACAACCCAGGTACATGTCCTTGACCGGAATCGAACCCGGGACCTTTCAGTCCGCAGGCCAACGCTCTATCCACTGAGCCAAACCGGTTTCGGCAAATAAAGCTTTAAATATCAAAAATATTCATTGGGCTGTAATGAGCATATTTTCTTTTTCATATTTTAAAATGAATTATAAGTGCTTATCACTGAAATCATTTATTAAATGTTTTAAATTTTATACTATGTGCATGAATTACCTAGTTAGAAAATGATGGGTTCATGGACAGAAAGTATTAAAGAACTCATTATTTTATTTTCAAATATTTTCCCAATTGTCAAAATAATACAGTCATCTACAATGTGCTTAAAAATACAGGGTGGGAAGAAAGTAGGTTTACAGTTGTGAGTACGTGAAATACAGAGTTCCTGTATTATTATTTATTAATTATTGCATTATTTTCCAACTGTAAACTAACTTTTGCCCCACTCTGTATATAAAAGTGTGAAGACCGGAAGGTGACTACTCATCTCCCCTCCTTACCCAGAGGATTAACATTTTCTTTAAGTTGATTTTTTTTTTTAAGTTGATTTTTCTTGCATTTTATTTTCTTACATACTTTCGATCATATTGCATATTCAGCAAGTTAACTTCAAGTTCTTACCCTGGTTTGATGAATTATTAAACCTCACTTCTATTAAGTATTGAATTGTCCACAGTAAGAAGCATTAATGGGGGTGGGAAATTTTAATTTTTCAACTTTTTTTTTATAGTGGAAGTGTTTGTCCCTCCTTGTGTATCAACTCCAGAATTTATCCATGCTGCTATGAGGCCAGATGTCATTACAGAAACTGTAGTGGAGGTGTCAACTGAAGAATCTGAACCAATGGATACCTCTCCTATTCCTACATCACCTGATAGCCATGAACCAATGAAAAAGAAAAAAGGTAGAGTATATAAATTTCTGGAAGGGTGGATGAAATTTTTTATATGAAATATATACTGTAGATTTATGATTGCTGTTATCTTAACTAGATATTCTCAAAGAATCAACAAATTAAGATTTTCATTTTGTATTTTAACATGTTCATACTGTTTAAAAGGAGTTAGTATTTAAGCCCTAAAAGTAGTTGCGTGAAAATGAGATCATAATGAGTGTTGGACACACAGTAGGAAAATCAGAGATTCACTGCACATTTGTCTACTTTGTGGTCCTTTTAGGTACTTGGTTACTTTTTATAAAAGGAATTTAATCTTTCTCTATTTTTCATACTCCTGTCTTCCTGTTCTTTTGTGGACATGAAAATAAAAGCACAACTTTTTTTTCGATACCTCCCCCCCCCCCCCCCCATGCCTTCTTTTAAATACCAAGATTGCCAATAGGGCTCTATAAATGAAATAAACTCACTGGTGAGTAAAGAGAAAGAGTCTTTCCGCTTAGTTGTCTCCTGCTGGGACATCACTCACCTGATCCTGGTAGGTGAGGCACAAGGCTCCAGCACATCTCCAACATCCTGAGGAGATGGGCAGTAATGGATCCTTTTCCTGTTTGAGTCAAAGGTAAAACTTGAAATGACATCTTATACAAATTGGTACTCATCTAATTCTTCTTTCTTCTTTCTTCACATTTTAAAATGGGAGAAAAAACAAAGGCAAAAATAAGGAAAACTTTTATTAAAAATAATGATGTTTTTCTTTTCTTTATTAGAAGTATTTCAGATTGATGTGATGTTCCCAGGTCTGTGCTTATTGCTGTGAGTGATACAATGAAGATTAAGTCAGAGTGCCTTCCCTCATATAATACAAAGCCTAAGTAACTGTTAGACTGTTCGAACAGTAGCTATGACACACACTGACCACCAGGGGTGGACACTCAACACACAGGCATGGAAACATGGAACAGACTGATGAATCTCAGAGGGAAGGGGAGGAGGGAGGGCGGGAAGAGATTAACCAAAGATCTTATATGCATACTAGAGGCCCAGTGCACGGATTCTTTGGCCTAGCCTGTGAGGATTGGGCTGAATATGTGCACTGGGCCTCTGACATCCCCCGAGGGGTCCCAGATTGCGAGAGGGTGCAGGCCAGCCCGAGGGACCCCAGTGGTGCACGAATCCGTGCACTGGGCCTCTAATATCCTATATAATAAGAGGCCAATATGCAAATCGACTGAACAGCAGAAAGACCAGTTGCTATGATGGGTACAGATCACCAGGGGACAGATGCTCAATGCAGGAGCTGCCCCCTGGTGGTCAGTGCGCTCCCACAGGGGGAGCACCACTTAGCCAGAAGCCCTGAGCCAGGCTCACAGCTGGCGAGCACAGCGGCACCACGGCAGCGCTAAGGATGTCCGAGTGATGGCTTACGCCCACTCCCTCGGAGTGCAGGAATTTGGTGCTCCGGGCCTCTAATAGGTTATATATATCTTGAGAGGTATGAATACATGACAAAATTTAAAAGGAAGAATCACTTCCTGCTGTAAATGTTTAAAAGCAAAAGACATACATATTAATACCCTTGTTTGCCCACTGTAGCCTTTGGCTGATTGCATCCAATGGGAGCTATGACAAAGAAATATTTAGGTTTATAAGAGGATAGAAAAGTTCATGAAAATCTGGGAACATTTAGGGTGGGTACCAAGACCTCTAGATAAATCAGTGATATGCAGAATTAACCTATGTGGTTTGATATAAACCAGGAAATAATTTGCGAATTTAATTCTGATTTTATATATTTAAAAAACAGATGGCCTTAATTTAAGAATTACATATAACATCATTATTCACTTATTTATTTGTGTTTAAGTACATTTAGGACATATAGTTAGGTAGGTTATTTTTTAATAGCATGGTCTTTTGTATTTCTAGAGATTGTGTAATATACTCGTGTGTTGTGAATCTCTAAGGGAAGATAGCATGCAGTTTTCCAAAAAGTTTATTTGACTGTAGAACCCTTTTCCTACTGATGAATAACCTGTTTCTCAAGTAATATGGTTTGGGAAATGTTGCTTTATAAGAAAGTAAAGTAAGCCTTTATGGCAGTGGTTCTCAACCTTGGCTGCACATTAGAATCACCTGGGAATCTTTTTAAAATCCTGATTTCGGGCCTCATCCTCCAGAAATTCTGTTTCTTTGTTATGCCACAACATTAGTAACAAAGAAACAGAATTTCCGGAGGATGAGGCCCGAAATCAGGATTTTAAAAAGATTCCCAGGTGATTCTAATGTGCAGCCAAGGTTGAGAACCACTGCTTTATGGACTAACCTTTCCATTAAGGAAGTGGGCTATTTTGTGATGTAGGATACAGTAAAGATGTCTGTATTATTACTGATTGATTTGTACATATAAATATCATTTACATTGAGAAATTAAATTCTATTTTAACAAGGAAACCAGTGAACTTGCTGTTTTTATTTTGGCAAAGCATACTTCTTGTTGATTAGAATTAACATAATGAAATCCTAGATCATAGTATTTATGCATTTGAAGATATAAATTAAGGTAGGGACCTTAATTTAGTTCTTTATTTGGTTGAAAATAGTCCTTGCTAATGAAGAGTAGAGTGACAAAATAAATCCCAGTGTATGACAGTCACAAAATCTGTAATAATATACAGGCATACCTCGGATATTACTGGTTTAGTTTCAGACCATTACAATAAAGTGAGTCACACAATTCAATTTTTTTGGTTTCTAGTGCACATAAAAGTTACGTTTATACTATTAAGTGTGTATTAAATAGCATTATAGCTTAAAAAAAAACAATGTATATACCTTAATTAAAAACACTTTATTGCTAAAAAATGCTATCCATCACTTGAGCCTTCAGCAAGTTGGAATCTTCTTGCTGGTGGAGGACCTTGCCATGATGTTAATGGCTACTAACTGATGGGGGTGGTGGTCACTGAAGGTTGTGGTGGTCACTGAAGGTTGTGGTGGCTGTGGCAATTCCTTACAATTGGAATTGTAAGGAATTGGAGGTCTGAGGAGAGGGGAGAGATGGGGATCAGCTAGTGGAAGAAGTCAGAACACACATAACATTTATCAATTAAGTTCACTGGCTTATGTGGGTGTGATTCATGGCACCCCAAAACAGCAATAGTAACATCAAAGATCTCTGAAAATACAGCAGTCTCCTCATTCCTGGCTTTGCTTTCCATGGTTTTAGTTACCCATGGTCAACCCAGGTCTGAACACATTAAATGAAAAAGTCCACAAATGAATAATTCATCAGATTTGAATTGCAGACAGTTCTGAGTGGTGTGATGAAATTTTGAGCCTTCCAGCCCTGGACGTCAATCCTTTGGTCCAGCATCTCCACACTGTATATATGCTCACTGCCCATTAAATTTAGTAGCTATCTCGGTTATCAGATTGACTGTCGTATCACAATGCTTGTGTCCAGGTCACCCTTATTTTTACTTCATAATGGCCCTAAAGCACTAGAGTAGTGATGTTGGCACTTGAGATATGCCAAAGAGAAGCCCTAAAGTGCTTCCTTTAAGTGAAAAAGTATGTATGTATTTATAGGAAAAAACATAGTGTATATAGGGTTCAGTACTTTCCATAGTTTCAGGCATCCACCTGGAATCTTTGAAGGTATCTCCCACAGATAAGGGAGGACTACTGGATAATATATGTGAATATTCCCAACCTCTTTGTGGAGGCTTCTCTTCACCTGCCAGCATTCATTCATCAGTGCTGAAAATTGAATACAGTGCATTTCAGGCTTATGCCTTCTTTAGGGTAGAGAAGTATAGCTATTGCTTTTCTGTTCATTATGGATGCTAGTCTGAGGGAGCCTTCTGACAGAAGCAAGGAGAAACAAGAATAAGGACATAAACATTTACTAGAGTCTGGTCTGCGTGGTTCAGTGGTTGAGTGTGGACCTATGAACCAGGAGGTCACAGTTCCATTCCTAGTCAGGACAGGCGCTGGGTTGCAGACTCATCCCCAGTGTGGGGTGTGCAGGAGGCAGCCAGTCTGTGATTCTCTCTCATCATTGATGTTTCTCTCTTTCTCCCTCTCCCTTCCTCTCTGAAATCAATAAAAATATATTTTTAAAAAACACAGAAGATAAACATTTACTAGACATATGACATAATTAGTTGGAAGATTTTCTTACCTTTATAGTGTACCAGCATATTTGAGGGAAATTTAAACACATGCTTAAATTCTGGTGAATTGATTGGCTCAGAGCAGTAGAGAGTGTTTAAAATAATAGTTTTTACCTTTTCTCATTTGAACTCAAAGGGATTGTGAGATTATCAGGTCCTCTGCAGTAACTAGGTAAAGCTTTTTGTAACAATCATCTAGAACAGAAAACAAAAAAAGTTTGCAGTAGAATCTGTTTCCATTGCCACATTATTGGAAAAGTTTAGCAAGCTGAGGCTCTGACCATGTAAATAATAGGTTAGTAGTACCTGACTTGCCTTATACATTGAGATTACTACCAACTAACTGCTGTAATCTAAAATTGTAGAAGTGCTTTTAATGTTCTTCTTAAGTGAGACTTCTTATATATACCGAATATATTAATATACAAATTCGTCTTCATGAATAATGTATTATCAAAGAATCTGCTAATCATGCTTCTTATTACTATTTTTAATGTATGGTTTCATTATCTTATTTTTTCAGTTGGCCGTAAACCGAAGACCCAGCAATCACCAATTTCCAATGGTTCTCCTGAGTTGGGTATAAAGAAGAAACCCAGAGAAGGAAAAGGTAATTTGGGGAAGGCTATTTTGGAGGCAAGATGATTTTTTTTTTCAGTCAGCTGAAATATTTCTAGTATGTGCCCATGTGGCAGTACTATCTTTAAAAAAAAAATATATATATATATATATATAATGTATTTTATTGATTTCAGAGAGGAAGGGAAGGGAGGGGGAGAGATTGAAACATCAATGATGAGAATCATTGATTGGCTGCCTTTTGCCCATCCCCTACTGGGGTTTGAGCCCACCACCCCGGCTTGTGCCTTAATGGGGAATCAAACTGTGTCCTCCTGGTTGACACTTAACCACTGAGCTACCCTGACTGGACAGTACTGTCTTCAGTAGTACTTAACAGGGAGCTTTTCAAACTCTATGCCCACTCCTGTCCACCTGAGTTTCTGTAGCCATGGATACAAGAGGGGAGTGCAAAGGGGTAAGCACTTATTTTGGAAAAGGTCTTAAGTGGAATCTGATGTACACCCTTCTTAAGAGCTGTTGTTCTAGAGCAAGCATGTCAAACTCGCGGCCCACGGGTTGCATGCCTCGTTTATTGGCCCGTGTTAGCCTTTGAGTTTGACATGCTTGTTCTAGAGCAGTGGTTCTCAACCTTGGCTGCACATTAGAATCACCTGGGAATCTTTTTAAAATCCTGATTTCTGGGCCTCATCCTCCGGAAATTCTGTTTCTTTGTTACTAATGTGGCCCCACCTAAGAGGTTCTGGGTTGGCAGGAGGTGCTCACTCTTACACCCCTGTCCTTGGTAGCTTGCTTGCCTGCTGCTGCCATTGTGGCCCCACCCCATAACAAAGAAACAGAAGGAAATTACCTTTTTTAAAAATTTTGGCCTGTATTAAAGTTGAGGCAGCGTGGTGTAATGTAAAGATTAAAATTATTAAAGTCATACCTGGATTAAAAATCCAGCCAGTGTTTTTTCTTTCCAGAATTATCATCTGTTGGGGATAGAATAAATTTGAATATATTAATCCAAAATTACCCAACTATTCAATTTGAAAATATTTACTTGTGAAAGTGATAAATGTTTAGTTATCAGATTTCCAGAACATACCTGAATTGTTATCATAATTCTACATACTAGTAGGCTTAAAGAACTACCTGGTCTGTTAGAGAAGGCTTTTTTTTTTTTCTAAGTTCTCTTTTCTTTAAAACCAGAAATAGAATTTGTCAATTTTGCTTGGTAGTGGGAAGTGGGGTGGAACATTTCAAGATAACCTGAGGATTATAGATGAGTCTAATTCAGCAGATCCGGAAGCATTTTCAAATCCCTACTATAAAAATTTCTTCCAGAATAAGTTCTCTGCTCACTTGTACTATATCTGCTCATAGGACCTGATAATCCCCTGGTCATAAACAAAATAACATTGTCCCAGCCATACATATTTTCTTTTTTCTTTTTGTAATCTTTATTAATATAAGATCATCCCCTAAGGCTCATCTGCTAGCTTTTTAAACAATTTTCAAATGCAGTTTTACAGTTCATTTAATACCACACACTCCTACAACATTAGCCCCTTTACAAAACAGATGAAGGAAAATAGCTTTAAAACTGTTGTCTTAGAAATGTGACTACAATTAAGAGTGGTTCAGTATTAACTTCTATAATCAACTAATGTGTCTTAGGTTGCCACATACATCTTAATTGTGACATGCAAAATGGATCTTGCTTTCACATGCAGATTTCAGCAGAGATCCACAGTCCCAAAACAAAAAGGGGAAATAAACATTACAGGGCCAACTCAAACATATACTTGAGGGGGAAAAATAAAAAAAACCTTCACAATTAGTGGATAATGGGGAAAGGAAAGAGGACAAAAGATCAAGGAGTACCCAGAGTGTCAGCCCACCAATATATGAATAATTTAGCCCACCAATATAATAATAATTCAGCACCCACATATGATAAGACACATTTTCGAAGTGGAAAAGAAGTTATTAAAGAGATTAATTTAGACCATCAGTAACCATCAGACTCCTGTATATGACATCAGTGTGATTCAACTTAATCTCCCTTAACAATTTAAAAGTTTTCAGAATGTATTCCAAGGTAATAGTTCATTTCAAACCTATTTTAATAAATTATACCTGCACTAATTTGTATCTATATATTCTCTGTGTTATTTAAAACATCTTTGATACTTAAAACAGAATAGCCATGTTGAAATTAAAAGTTTAGACAAACTATCACCGACTTTAATATATTAATGATAAGTAGCTCAAAGCTTTAGATATGAATGAACCTGACAAAAACATGTCAGGGCATGTTTAAGAAATCTGTCCTTGTTACCTGACCACCTTTCTATTTTGTGCAGAGAACCCATAAGAAAAGAGTATTTTCAACAAAGTAGTATACCTAGTGTTTGAAATGAAAAACAATTACCCAAAACCTCTCACTTTGGTAAAAGCAGAACATCAGTTCAGAATTACACAGATGCCAAAGTGAAAGACAAGTGGAATGGATAAATTAATCCCTATCAGTAATAAAAACATTGGGAGAAAAAGTGTCACCATAAAAAAAATAAATAAAAAACAATGTATATTTGGATAATTACAATCTATAATTCTATAAAAATTGCTAAAATTCAAACATGTTCTTAATATATTTCTGGTGAAACAAAGTCAAAATATAATACTTGGGATTCCTCCTTCTGCAAAGAAAAAATTAAGTAATTCTCTAAAGTACTCTGCAAATTCCAATTCACAAGAAACATACAAAACATGATAAACAATAATAATTTTATAGATGAAGACCTACAATTCCAGTCTTTGCTACCTCAGCAAGGTACTTTCCATATACCATATCAATATCATAGAAATGGCACAGTTTCTGAGAACATGATCCACATTTTAAGACTAATTTTAATCTCAAAAATCACATATCGATTCACCTATTTCCTTTTTGCTGATTTCACTTCAACTTAAGTGCATGGTTTGTCAAAGACTAAACAAATATTTACCATGTCTTTTACATGTAACACAAACAGCTTTTAACAGAAATTCATTGACCTTCCCCATGACATTTTTTTATTATAAATATAGATATCAAAACAATCCTGGACATATTTTTTATACTACTGGTAGTCAGCACCCACACCACTTCAAAAATTAAAACAATTTGAGACAATATTCATTGTACCTGCTACTTTAGACAATTTAAATTGAAGCTTTCACTAAGCAAAATGGATAAAGCATGCCATTTCTTTTTCCTTCTTGAGATTTTTACTTTTTAGTAAAAACCACCATACTTCCATCTTGTAAACCTGAATTCTATTTTGAATACTCCAGGTTTATGTTGAAATGACAGTGCCTTAAAAAAATTGTGCTGCATTTTTTCTCCTGTTACCTGAAAACATAATGTGTATACATATATTAAATATGTTCTTACAGATGTCCAGGTCATATTTACCAGCTGGCATTCTTTTACTTAATATGTGGGTATTTTGCATTGTGATATTTAATCAAGACATTAATATGAGTAGAAGATTGTTGATTTAAGACAAGTTTGAGATGCACTAAAATTAATTGTATGTTTGTCCTGGTGGCTGTGGAAGCTTCATATTTTCTTTGGACATCATTAGACATCTTAGTTCTTGAAGTACAAGTTTAATGCTATATGAATTTTGGCATTTTGCTACTGCTGGTATGCTCCGTGCATCTACCATTCCACTGGAATTATTTATTCCATTCATATTAATTTTGGTTACAAGTCTAACTGACAGAGGAGCTTCTGGGTATTTAGGCCCACATTCTACTTTCAGGCTATGTATTCTGTTTTCATAATTTGTCCTTGGTGGCCCAATAATCATGCCTGTCCACCTTGTGTCATATCTTCATCATCTTCAAGGCTCCAGCTAACCATACCATCGCCTACTCCTTTTTGTCCTTTAAGTTCTTCCAACAAGTGAAAATGACAAGGAACTTTTTAGCTCCTGAGGAGACCGCCATCTTCTTCACCCCAACACAGCTGTTCCCAGCCATACATCTTGATGTATAGTAGTTGAAAGTGATGTAGTTCAAAGTCATGTATATATATATATATTTTTTTTATTTCAGAGAGAGGAATGTGGTGGGAGGAAACATCCCTTTTCAACAAATTAATAAATGCCTTTTGATGAATTTTGATCATAGAATTTGAGCTTATATAAAAAATACAAGTTTAAATAAATTTATTCAGAGTTTAAATCTGTAAATAAATATGATTCTGTTTTAAGTTCACTTCGTACTATGCATTATGCCTTTGCCTTTATTGAACTCAAAATTTAGGCTAGGATAATACATGATAGTATAAAATGTAGGATCTTGATTATATTAGTACCATAACTGGAAACATGCATAGGATGTTATTTTAAAAATCCAGCAAACAAAAGAAAGAAACTAAGAAAACAAAAAAAAAATAAAGAAAGAAAAAAACACACCAGCAAACAGCACGGCTGGTGTAGCTCAGCGGTTGAGCATTGAGTCAGGAATCAAGAGGCCACCAGTTCGATTCCAGGTCAGGGCATATACCCGGGATGCAGGCTCGATCCCCTGTGGGGGGCATGCAGGAGGCAGCTGATCAATGATATCTGTCTCTCATCGATGTTTCTTTCTATCCCTCTCCCTTTTGCTTTCTAAAAAAAAAAAAAAAATCCAGCAAACAAGTATATTTATGAATTTTGTTATGATGAAAGATATTTTATATCACTTACTAGACAACACAATTTGACACCACAAAGATTGCCAATATAGTCAAGTACTTAATGACAGGCTCTTAGTACATTTGCGTTTACAAGTAGTAAATGATTTTATTTTTATCCAGCACAATTAAATATTGCTTTTAATGATGTTAATGAATTTTTAATCAATGTCTATCATTGTTTTTCTAAGGAAACACAACCTACTTGTGGGAGTTTCTTTTAGATCTACTTCAAGATAAAAATACTTGTCCCCGATATATTAAGTGGACTCAGAGAGAAAAGGGCATATTCAAGCTTGTAGATTCAAAGGCTGTCTCTAAGCTTTGGGGAAAGCATAAGAACAAGCCAGACATGAACTATGAAACCATGGGACGAGCTTTGAGGTAAGAGCATGAAGGAACGAGTTTCAAACAAAATTTATACATCTCTTCCTATTGTCTATTAGCTGTGGAAATCCCTTATTTATGATAACTTTTAATTTTGGAGGGTATTCTAGAGAAGCTTCTTAGATTTGGAGATAGATGGGGAGAGAGGAGTTTGGTCTGGATGTCTAAAATTCAACATGATTGGAAAATTCGTTTCTCCAGAAAAATGTGCTTTTGTATTTAGGACTATTCCATAATACAAAGTTAAGTTACAGCCTTTAAGAAAATTAAACCCAAATGAAGGTCTCCAAATTGTTAATTTGCTTCAGTTCTTGTGAATTTGTTATAATGAATTTATCTTGATATGAAAATTTCTCAAGTTTTTTCAGTTTGAGAAACCACAAAACTTGTAGTGTACTTGGATTTTTCTAAGGGTCCTTGTACATTATTTATGTGACGCTGTTCACATATCCCACAGATTAATCTCTCCTAAGCACAGCTTAATTATTTTTCTATGTTACGTCAGATTGTTTTTGTAATCTATGTATTCAATCTGAGTTGAATTTTTATCAGTGTTCGTAAAATAGTCTGTATTTAGGTTAAATTACTTCCTTTAAGAATGAACTTTTTGCTACTTTATATATCTCAAGGTTATAGGGCCTACAGCACCAGGTTCCAACTTCATTCCTACTCATGAGTCTCAGCCATTTGAACAATCCAGGCAGGAAGAGCTCCTTCTTATTTTACAGAAATAAGTGCATGTTTCTGTTATTACCCATTCTTCATGGTGGTTTTTGTTTGTTTGTTTTGGAGAACTTGATTCATTAAGTTCTTTTTCCTTACAGATATTATTACCAAAGGGGTATTCTTGCAAAGGTTGAAGGACAGAGGCTTGTTTATCAGTTCAAGGATATGCCCAAAAACATAGTGGTCATAGACGATGACAAAAGTGAAACCTGCAATGAAGATTTGGCAGCAGCTACTGATGAAAAGTCATTAGAACGAGTGTCGCTATCTGCAGAAAGTCTCCTGAAAGCAACCTCTGTTCGTGGTGGGAAAAACTCTTCTCCTCTAAACTGCTCCAGAGCAGAGAAGGGAGTAGCGAGAGTTGTGAATATCACTTCCCCTGGTCATGATGCTTCGTCCAGGTCTCCTACTACTACCACATCTGTATCAGCGACAGCAGCCCCAAGGTAAGTGAGGGAAACTGTTAGTTGCATTTGCTTTTTTAGAAAACTCCTTGGCAAAACGATATGTTCTTTTTTCAATATTAGCATTCTAGGAACCCACTGTTGGTCAGGAATTGACAAGTACCTGATATTTTAAATGTACTTTGTTGTTATTAAACTAGTTGATGTCTCATTTAACCTGGATTGATTTTTATGGTTTTCTAGATGGAACTTAATATGGGCTTTAGTTTTCTAAATATGTTTATTTCATGGTAGTTCATATTCTAGATGTTAGGGGTTTGTCAGTACATACGGAAAATTTGGGAGCACTAGTTTATGCATTTTGTATTTGCATTCATCATTTTCTCAAGAAACCTATTTCTAATTTAGCATTAAATATAGTCTAATCTTTTTAATTCACTAGGACAGTTCGTGTGGCAATGCAAGTTCCTGTTGTAATGACATCGTTGGGCCAGAAAATTTCAACTGTGGCAGTTCAGTCAGTTAATGCAGGTGCACCATTAATAACCAGCACTAGTCCAACAACAGCAACCTCTCCAAAGGTAGTTATTCAGACAATCCCTACTGTGATGCCAGCCTCTACTGAAAGTGGAGACAAAATCACCATGCAGCCTGCCAAAATTATCACCATCCCAGCTACACAGCTTGCACAGTGTCAACTGCAGACGAAGTCAAATCTGACTGGATCTGGAAGCATTAACATTGTTGGAACCCCACTGGCTGTGAGAGCACTTACTCCTGTTTCCATAGCCCATGGTGCACCTGTAATGAGGCTATCAGTGCCTACTCAACAGGCATCTGGCCAGACTCCTCCCCGAGTGATCAGTGCGGTCATAAAAGGGCCAGAGGTTAAATCGGAGGCAGTGACAATAAAGCAGGAACATGACGTGAAAACTTTGCAGCTGGTACAAGAAGAAAAACCAGCAGACGGAAATAAGACAGTGACCCATGTAGTGGTTGTCAGTGCCCCTTCAGCTATTGCCCTGCCCGTAACTATGAAAACGGAAGGACTAGTGACATGTGAGAAATAAAAGAGCAGCTCTGCCATGGACTTTAGACATGTTAGTAACAGTACTAACATAAATGTTTGCAAGGGATGTCATCAAGAAAAGTCAAAAGGAGACTTTAAAACATTTTTAATGCATATAGGAAAACAATCAAACTTACTGGAAATAAGTTACCTGTCCCATGTTTCAGTGGGAAATGAACTACATGTTGAGATGCTGACAGAAAACTGCCTCTTACCTAGGAAACAACTGAACCCATCAATAAAAGGATTGAAAGGGACCAAGCAACTCACTACAATGTCAAGTTACACTAAGACTTGGAACACTAACATTCTGTAAGAGGTTACAGTTTTCAATGGGGAGGGGTTGGGATGGGTGATCTCATTGTTACATATAGCAATTTTTGTGCATTTTATATGCATACCAGCAATTATTACTGTGTTCACACAGAACTCACTTAACTGGTGCTATGTGAAGACTCTGCTAATGTAGGTATTTTAGAATGTGAATTGAAGAATGGATCCAAAAGCTTCAGAAAGAGGATAGCAAAAAAGATCTAGTGCGATTTTTTAATAAAATATCATATAGCTTAAGCTGATTTAAAACAAAGGCCTTAGACTAATTTTCGGTTTTCTTTATTGAAATAAGCTAATGGCTTGTTTGTGTAAAGCTTTTTTTATTAAAAGAAAAATTTTAAAAATCTTGTACCTAGCACAGTATTGTTATAGAATTTACATGTAACATTTTATATGGTAGTTTAAGTCTGTCAGTTTCTTAATTGTGGACAAATTAACAGTTGGCTCTGGCCTTTTGCTGTAACATGCCTGTGTCACTCAGCCCTGTCATCTGTGCAGACATATCAGTTTCTGTTCTCCTGTCACTTGGAAGTTAAGGCTCAGCATGAATTTTTGTCAGGTAATTCTTAATACCTGGAGTTTTCTTTCTTTTTTTCCTTTTTTTTTTTTTAGTTGAAGTTTAAGAGGGAAAGTACCAGTGTTCAAATTTGAACTATAATAGTTTGTATATTCAACATTTGAAGTATATTCTATTTTGTTGTACTCTTGTTTCAAAGTGTATTCAAGTAGGTTTTCTGAAATATAGAAATTTATCTTGCATTTTGGTCTCTGGTGATATTTTTAACAATATTCAAAAGCTAGTATAGAGACATCATTTTAGTTAAGAATAGAGGTCCTATTTCTCCTTTCCAACTAAAGAAATCCTACTTCTGTTTTTTCTTTATATTAATATTTGGCAAATTACTGCATGTTGCCACTTCCTTTCTAATTATAATCGCGAACTATAATGTTCTAGTTACCATAATGAATTTATTTTAATGTTGGCCACACTTAAAGAATTTATACTTTAAATCAAGACCATTTGCTTCTCAATCATACTTTCTGAAGGTTAGGAAGAACAAGTAATATTCTGGCTCTTTTACACATGAGGAACTGGAGGTCCAGAGGAATTACAGGAGTTTCCGAATTTCACACCGGACTAGGTTGTGTGACTACATCTTAATGCTCTATTACAAAGAAAAGTTGTCTATTTTTACATCTTTTAGAAATTTAAATAAACTGATACTTAATATTTTGTGGCCTTTAATTGTTCATTTCATCTGATAATACTTAAATTGACAAAGATTTTTTTTTAACACCTCCCTTTGTAATCTTTTTATCTTTTCCATAAACATACCTAATGGTACTTTTTAATAAAAGCTCAAAAAAACCCTCACCTGATTCTTATCCCATTTGAAAGTTAATCTCAAATTCTACTTCTTTTTTTTTTAAATATATTTTATTGATTTTTTACAGAGAGGAAGGGAGAAAGATAGAGAGCTAGAAACATCGATGAGCGAGAAACATTGATCAGCTGCCTCCTGCACATCTCCCACTGGGGATGTGCCTGCAACCCAGGTACATGCCCTTGACCGGAATCGAACCTGGGACCCTTCAGTCCGCAGGCCGACGCTCTATCCACTGAGCCAAACCGGTTTCGGCTCAAATTCTACTTCTTTAAACATTCCGTACTCTGCTTTGGCAATTCATTGTATTCTTTAAAAAAAATTTTTATCTTTATTGTTGAAAGTATTATAGATGTCCCCCAACCTGACCCCCTCGACTCCGCTCCCCCGTCCCCCAGGCCTTTTCTGCACTGTTGTCTGTGTCCATTGGTTATGCATATAAATTCTTTGGTTAATCTCCCCCCTCCCCCCAACTATATTTTTTGCACAGCAATTTCATCCATAATGCTGATGTAGGGTAAAGATTACATACTCTACGATACCTACACTCCTCAAGTGCTGAGCATATGGGACACGGACATTTTTGATTTTGGTAACTTGCTACAGATATGTCATGTGCTATGGAGGGTAAAGGAACTTTAAATTTTTAGTAATTCCCCCTATGCTATATTAATTGGTTCTAATTAGGTGAAGCCAGGGCTACCTAGCTTCCTCCACTGCTCTACCCGAATACTTTTGGGTACATCTTTCAGAATAAGTACACTTATGGTCTAAATTGGGAAACACATGTTCACAGCATATATTGATTGGAGTGCTTCTGGTGATTGATATTACCAGGTGTATGCCTTTTAGTCTCAACCCTTTTGAACCGTAGATCATTATATTTGCTCTTTGTGTCCAGCATATTGGAAAACCGTATAATAATAGCTTTATGCGTCTAGTTTCCAGCCTCACCAGGCTTTGGACAATGACTGATCAGCATTCTGTCCACTTAGTCCTCAGGTCATCTTCCAGCAACAATTCCAACCTTCAGCACTCTGCTTACCAAATAACCAGCAAACCTCTTAGGGAACATGGAGGTCATGAGCTGTAAACTCCCCACTCCCTGGAACTCTTGCTATAAGACCATCTTATTCCAGCATGCATCCACCACCTGTCTCCAGAGAGGCAGATGTGCCTTCTTCCTGTACTCGGCATCTCCTTCCCTCTCACACCTACTTCTTTCCCTTGTTCCAACACTTAATAGCCCATCATTCTGTCTTTTTCTTAATTACAGTCTGAATTCTGACTTAGAAACAGTTACCATTGAAGTCTCCAGTAATCCAGTGGTCAAGTCAAACTGCTTTATTTTTTCACATGATCTTGTGCCTCAGCCTTTTTACATTCTCTGGGTTTTCCATAACATCCCTCTTGCAGTTTTCCTCCTGTATGACCAATTCTTAGTTGACTTTGCTTTCCTCCAGTTTTCCCAGTTCATGTCTATGGGGCTCTTAGAGTAGTTGTAAGAATTGAGTTAATATGTTAAGGATTTAGAACCAGTGCCTGGCACATAGCACTCTTATGAAAATGTTTAATAGATCTCAACATGTTAGACAATCTCATTCCTTCTTATGGTTTCTACTACCAAATACATTGTTCTAGTCTATTCTTTAGGCCTTAGATGGGTTTATCTAATTGCCAACTGGCTATTTCCTCCTGAATGTCCAACTTATCCGTCTGAAATCTTTTCCTCTTTGCTCAATAAATGATGTTGCCAGTAACCCATTACTCCTTGCCCTCCATGACAACCTCCCTCTCCCTTGTGCTTTTCCTAGTGTCCTCCCATAACTGACTCCCCATACCGCTAACAGATTGTCTTCAGCAGTAGTCTTTATGGTGCTGGCCCAACCACTTTGGCAAAGTTACTCGAGTGTTTTCCTGGGTCTCCATGTATACAGAAAGCATACATGTTATTAAATTTTTCTCCTGTTAATCTTTTATTACAGGGATGTTTCAAACAAGAACCTAAAAGGATAGCGTGAACATTATTTCCCTCCCCTACAGAGCAATAGGCTCTATCCTTCGGCCTAGGTGTGTAGTGGGCTGTACCACCGCAGTTTGTGTAAGTATGATGTTCACGTGATGCTGACACCTGCTAATGACACATTTCTCAGAACATGTCTCTCTCAATAAGTGGCTGGTGACTGTTGTTGGATACCTGAAATTCACATATTAGTTTGACTTTCATTCTCATTCAGATTTGTTTACTCAAGGCTGTCATGATCTCTCTTCAGGTTGGTGTACTTTGGGGTAGAAAAACAATATTTAATGCCTGTACATATAAGTATTGTAATTAGTGTTGTTTCTCAGCAACATGATTACTATTAGTCATGCTAAGATTTGAACCAAATAGTATGGATGGTCTTTCTGCTTGCCATTCCTTCCAGGTATACAATGTACTGAGAAACTTCATTTGTTTCACAAGTGGTTCCAATGCAGAATACTTGGGTGAACCCTTTTGGGAGCTCCAACCTTGGCACTGAGAGATACCATACAACAAAAGCACAGCAAAGATGCCTTCAATGTGCAGCTATAGATGTGCTTTGTTCACTTTTAAAATAAATATCTGTGTGTAAATGAATAGTGTGAACCCACCATGTTAACAGTATTAAAAGATCAAATCACCCTAGCTGGTTTGGCTCAGTGGATAGAGCGTTGGCCTGTGGACTGAAGGGTCCTGGGTTTGATTCCCAGTCAGCGCATATGCCTGAGTTGTGGGCTCGATTCCCAGTGTGGGGCGTGCAGGAGGCAGCCAGCCGATTAATGAATCTCTCTCATCATTGAGGTTTCTATAGCTCCCTCTCTGAAGTCAGTATAAAAGATCAAGTCTACCCCAGATTCTTTTTGGACTAAAAATACAAGATATTAAAGTACTAGTTTCAAAAGACCATTTATTAATTTTAAATATATACAATTCATGGATTAAAATATTCAATTTATTACCCATAGGTTATTTGCTGGGACTTTGTTTGGAAGGGGCTTCACCTTGACCACTTTTTCCCCCCCAAGGAAAGAGAATTCCAAGTTATCTTTCCTTTTACATTCTTTCTAGACACTCTGAGCCAGTCACCTGGCTGTCTTAGGAAATTACAATGACAGCCTGTGAACAGGCTTTCTGGTTGCCCATCTCTGAAAAGAAGGTCCCCCTGACTTTACCAGCCACTACTCCTAAATAACCCATCGTGAACAGCACATTCCAATACAAATCACTGTGACACTGAGTGGCCACAAATCAAATGTATACCAGTAGCATTCCAACAGAAATCTGTAAATGCATAGCAGTGATTAAATGACAAAGACCAACTGGTCATGGAATCTTCAAGAAATAAAATAATGGGGAACATGGAGGCACAGCAAGAATTGTTATGAAGAACTTATCGAGACCAGCTATTTCCACTTAAAACAAAAAAAAAACAAACCCCTGGGGCCTCCAGGCTAAATAGTTCCTTTGTACACTATTTGTACACTATTTTGTTAGACCCCAAATAAAAACATCTTAAAGCCTTAAGAAAATTACTATAAATTACTCTCTAACTTACATTTTGCATGGTTCTTAAATGTTTGTAATGCTATTATTTTCACATGAAGATATAAAAAATAAATACTGCCATGCATATCTTGTTGATACTTAAAACCACAAATAAATAACTTGAAATACTGTCTAGAGGAAATTGTTCCTGCATACTTGTTAATTATGGAAGACAAAGTATTTTTATATAGCATCATCAAACTGAAAACTTCACAAGACTAATTTAATGCCCTTAATTGATCTAAATTTAATGCTAGGGGAAAGGAGAAAAAAACAAGCCAAAACTGGAGTGCAAACACCTTTTTCGCTGAAGGGTTTAATGGAAAACGTTTGTTAACTAGTGGGATTCCTTCTCCAAGGCATGCTAGAAACATGGAAAGTGAAGTGAGAGAAACTGGGAATCCTTCCTCGGGCAACGTATCCTAACCTCAGTTTTCCTGAAACATCCCTGGTTAAGACTTGTGATTACAAAGTGTTTATGAAAGTCCATCAGGTTCATTATTAAAGCTGAAGTCACACACTAGAGACAGGTGGTCAGAAGGATAATTGAAGGATGGGAGCCGACTGGCTCCAATCTGTTCTTCAGTGAGCAAATCCAGAGCTGCCCTCACACTCAGAGAGTGTTTAGAATACCAGATATAGTCCAGGGTGTGCCGGTACTCCCCCGAGGTCCGGATCTTCCAGGAAGTATACGGAGGTTCTGACTGCCCATCTGGACTCAGCAGCTTATAGGCGCTGCTCAGGTTGAGGCTGGAGGAAGCAAAATTTTTGTAGACGTCCTCTGTTGGCTCTGCATTGAAGTCCCCACAAACAATAAGGGGAATCTTGGCTCCTTGGGTGAGGTTCTGCAGGTTCCGGAGAAGATCACAGCCTTGAGCTGATCGAAACTGCTCCCAGCCGGATCGTGCTTTCAAGTGGGTGACAGCGACGCAGAGCTGTTGACTGGACTCCTTGCACTCTAGGGTCTGTACAATGGCCACCTGGTTGGTTTTCAATGCCATGGCCGTCAGCCTGATATTGGTACTGTGGACTAACTTGAAGCGGTTCTGGAGGAAGAACAAGGCACAGCCATCTGGTCCATTGTTATGTTCTACATCGAGACAAGGTGACCAGGGCTTGGGGAAAAATGTGCCTCGATAGCCCAGTCTGCTGAGGAGTGGCTGGAAGGTGTCAAAATAGTGGTCCACTTCTTGGAGACACAAGATGTCAGGCTGGTAGGCTAGGATTTCTTCTAGGATGAGACACTTCCGCTCTTCCCACTTGAGTGCTTCCACGGGGCACTGTGCGAAGTTGTCTTTTCCTTCCCCGAGAGCTGAAATAAAAAAGCCAGTCGGTTGTCAGCTACTACAGAATCATGATTGTTAAGTTCCTGGGAATCTCCTTGGGTTTTTGATATGACTCAAGACCCTCCCAGGGCTTCCTCCTTCAGGCGCTGTGGGTGATTCTCCGCCTAAACGGCATTAAGTTTTAGCCTTAAACAGTATTCTTTGCAGTTCTAGGGATCTAAACTATGTCAGATGAGATAGATAGGTTGAACTCTATATACTAATTTCAACACTGACTATGAATGGATACAGACACCACTCAGAATGAATGGGATCCTAAATAGGCAGCTTTTCCTACTTATGAATGAACAGCTGGAAAAAAACGAATGAACCAAAGATTGGGAAGTCAGCAAGCATGCCCTTTTCTTGGGGAGGAAGGGGCAAAAAAACAGCCCTTGTTCCTGTTCCTTAAAATTTCAACTGCTACATGAGAGAGAACACTAGGAAAAGTTGATGGAGATGTGAATGGGTGAGAAGATGGCCATAAGAATGACAGGTTCAGCACCACCCACACAGCTCCCATTCCCTGTAGCAAGTTCCATATGTAACCATTCAGGAGACTCAGTTTCTCCCTTGCAAATGCTATCTTAATGCTGTGGACTGAAAGTGGAGACAACAAAAGTTTTGAGGCTGACAAGTGATGGGGTCCTTTAGATTTTGAAGTGCTGGGAAGTAGACTTTCATTGTATCTGGATGGCCTACAAACATGGAAGGTAAGGAATACGTCTCGAGTTGCTTTCCTAACTTGCCCTTCTGGGAGCGGATGCTGCCCTTGTCACCCCATCTTACACCTCCCATTTGCCCACACCTCTTCCCTCCACGTGAGACATCAGTGCTCTGGCAAGTGCAGAGGCAGAAAGGCAGTCACCACAAACTTAATGCTCAGGAACAAAAGCATCGGCCTTACCTTGAGCGAGGATGTTCCATTGCATGACCCTTATAGGGGGGTGGCTACTGGGGCAATCTGTCTTCAGGTCCACAAAGTCCCTCTGGAACCGGGGAGGTCGACTGTGCAGGACTGCCCTGCATTCCTCAAGCAGCTCTTTAGGATCAATGGGCTCCAGATGTTCTGGGTCAGGCGACTCCAAATACTCTCGGTGCTGGGAGGCAGCGCTGCTGTTCAGTGTCTTGGCAAGAGCACTATAGAGTCTGCTCGTGCCGTTTCCCATGGAACAGGCTGTAGGAGAGGAAAGGAAAGCACAATTACACACTCAGCTCCTTTTCCTGCCTTTCTTCAATTTCCACCCAGCTCAACTAGAAGGGGAAACTTTTCCTGTCCTTAGGAGGAGACCTTAATGTAGGGAAATGGTGCTGTTAGCACAGGTAGATTAAAGGCGTTCCCAGGTTCTACCTTTGTACTGGGACAGGTCATTGAAAATACTATTAAAATTGGTCTCTCAGAACTAAGATAATTCTTACAAGGGAAAAATACCTTGATCTTTATGGCTTCCTCTAACCTACTACTTGTCTTTATAACGTATAAACCCAGTCTTAGAAAAGCATGGCTGAAACAAAATCCCCATTCCTTTTTCTACATAATTTCAAAAACGTCAAAACCAATTTTGTAAAGAGGCAGATGTTAGGAAGCTCATGTTAATCCTGGAGAAGAGACTAGGTTAGAGCAGGCCGCTGCTCCAGCATGTCATCTACCCAGATCCCTCTGTTAGGAAAAGAAATGGCTGGATTAAACCCATATCTCATTTCGCTTAGATGTCAGCTTTTTGCAGAGCTCTGTGAACCTCACTGAGCAATACAGTGGATTATCTATTATCAATAGCCGTATTTCTTAAAAAACAACAACAAGAAATCAGAAAAGGGATTGGAGGAGGGAAAGGGGCAAGAGACAGTTGCCCACATTTCCTGGGATCCTGGAGGGAGGAAGGGTGAGGCGGCGCAGGTGGCGCACTGCCTGTTGGGCATTTTCTAGTGCTTCCTTTTTAAATCACTAAGGAGAACAGAGCATGGCCTTCAGCTAATTAGCATGAAGGAAGCTGTACCTGTCGCTTCACTTGTAAGCAGTGATTGCTCTTTTGGAAATCAACCATTCTTTGTGTTCACTATGGTATAAATTAGGGGCATGTTTTACTTGGAACCACCTCCAAATTTCTGTGTATGATGAATATTGGAATGGAGGAATTTGGATTTTCCTACCACATCCATATCTTTGCCTTCTTTTGAAAGACACAAAATTTTCTCTATGAAAATACATTGTTTAGCAGGCTGATGGACTGAATCTGAAACTAGCTGTCAGTCATATTCACGGTGACAGATCACAAAAGCAAATTCAAATACTTAGCACCAAATGTCTTTTAAATATCAAGGTCAATAAAGCATGCTCTCTCATTCCTTTTCATCAACTCAAAAGTAATTTTTCCCCCCAATAAAACTATATTAAAGCAAAGATACACCCTAGTTTTCCCAGCATACATTTAAGTGTACATGCATCAGCAAGCAAGACTTCTTTCTCACACACGTGCACATGCACAGATGGGCACATACACACCTGTTTTCAAACGGATTTGAATATATGTTCTTTTTAATCAAACTGCTTGCCTGAGTACATGGGTCCAAAGGAAGAACTTTTCTTCTTGGCTGGCAGAAAAACTTTGAAAATCTTCTGTACCTCCACGTTTTTTAAAGCAGTTAAGAGTCCTACTAAATGTGGTCAGATCAGCATCACCTCAACTGTAGATCAAAGTGTCACATGGGCCACAGCAAACTCACAGGGCACAGTGGAGTGCTTTCAATGTGAAGCAAACAGCAATACCTGACATCTGTCAGAGGAACTACCAGCTCAATGTAGCTCAGTTACAACAGAATGGTTCTACATCATTTTGATGGCATCATATCTTTGCAAGCTGAGTTTTGGGGTGGTTAACTGATAAAAAGCAAGTATGTGAAAAAGAGGATAAGTGCCCAATAGGAGGAGTTCATGGTTTGCGGCGTTATCTGAAGCCAGAAAAACTGCCCTGAATTACACTTCCTTCTAGAAACTTAGAAAAAACCTCAGATAAAAAGAATATGGTGCAGCATAACATCTGTCCAGACAAGGAAAGCTTGCCAGAAAGATGTACCCAGAAAGCAGATCAAAACGGTATCCTATTTGCAAAATGAGTCGAAGGTCATTAAGAAAATGGTAACTGGCCTAAATCAGAATGGGAAAACCCAGAAATGAGGAGATAAAGCATCGGAGAGATAGTGGCAAATATGTGCTTATTTCAGGCAAAGAAGATCCAAAACACACATGAATAACAGGAGTTGTAGTAGCAAGAAATCCAATGCATGAAATGAAACAAAACAAAACACTAAGAACTACAAATCAGTTTCAAACATGCAGGATGAATTAAGTTGTGGAGTTCTAATATATAATATGGTGACTATAGTTAATAAAACTGTTTCATTTGCTCGAAATCTTAAGTGCTCACCACACACACACAAAACGATGTGAGAGGACAGATGTTAATTGGCATGATTGAGGTATTCATTTCACAATGTATACACATAGCAAAACATCACATGGTACACCTTAAATATATGTAATTTTTATTTATTAATTATACCTCAATGAAACTGGAAAAAATGAATAAGAAAAAGTCAGGTTAAAAATGTATCACGGACTTTTTCAATCATCAATGCATAAAGCTTGGTTTTTGTCACTCTGAGAAAAAAAAAAAGCCAAAAAAAAAAAAAAAAAGCAATACTTGAAACTACATATTGAAATAACATGCCACATACCTGAGAATATTAACCCAGAATAACCAACACCAACTGGACTGTAAAGAAAAAGAGAAAAGTCCCTTGGGCATATAGGCAAAACCAGCAAGTAACTTGTAAGAAAACTAATATATGGCTAATCTATATGTGACTGAAGAATTTCCTATCCAGCAAAACCAATACTGACTCTAGGAGACCTTCTTGAGGGAACTACTAGAGCAGGGGCTGGCAAACTACAGCCAGAGTATTTCTGTGCAGTCCTTGAGCTAAGAAGGGTTTTACAGGTTGTTACACACACACACACACACACACACACTGGACACCAGACACTGGCCCACTGGAGATATATATATCAGTAACCATGCTAAACGTTCTGTCCTCGTGGAGCTTATGTGGCAGTGGGGGAAGACGAGATGACCGTTTGTCATGTGGTCCAAGTGCTATGGGGAAAAACAGAGAAAGGGCAAACGGAATGTGAGTGAGCGGGGAGCTGCTAACTTACACAAGATGCTCAGTGAGGCCTCCCTGAAAGGTGAAATGTGAGCCGAGACCCGAGGTGGTGAGGACATCAGTAAGTCTTACGTAGATCCAGCATAAGAGCACTCTGGGCAGAGGAACAGCAAATGCAAAAGCCCTGAGAAAGGAGCCTGCTTGGCAAGGCAGCTGCAGTGCCATAGAGAGACCAGAAGATGAGGTCAGTGAGGACAGGGGAGCAGGAGAAGGGCCTTACCGGCCATCCTCAGGACTTTCTCTAAGATAGGAAACTAGAGAATTCTAGGCAGGAGAGAGGATCTGATTTACATGAACAGCCTCACTGGTCCATGTGTTGAAAATACACTACAGTGTCAGGAAACAAGGGCAGACAGAGGAAGCCTCTTAGAGGACAGTTATAATCCAGGCAAGAGACACTGGTAGCTTGGACTAGTGGTAATAGTCAAAGTGGTGGGGTTCTGAGTAAATCTCAACTGGCGACAGCGACTTCTGTTGGTGACCTGGACGTGGTCCATGAGGAGTCGTCAAAAGGCCTCCAAAGCTGCTGCCGGACAACTAGAGGGACAGTCGCCAATAGCACCTGTTGGGAGGATGCGGTGAGTTTGCGGAAAACAAGTTTGGCAATTAGCTATGACTGATGTTCCGGAGAGACATGCAAACTGGAAACAAACGCCTGGGAGATGTGAGTGGACAGGACACTAAAGTGAGTTTAGAGAAAAAAAACGGGTCAGAGGATTGAGCTCTGGGGCAGGCTGGGGAAGATGCGGTAGAAGTCTGCAAAAAACGGCCTGGCTAAAGGAGGAGGAGAAGAGCAAGGCAAGTCTGATCTTCCTGGTCACAAAACAGGGTCTCATCCATGAGGTGGTCCTCTCCTGTGTCAGGCGCTACTGGACGGAGCAAAGAAAACAAAGACTGAGAACAGATTGGATTTGGCAACATGGAAATCGCCAGTGACTTAACAGCTAACTCCTGGGATTTGGTGGAGTTGTGGGGAGATGAGGAAATAGCACAGACAGAAGTATTTTACGGAAAATTTGCCCCCAAAGGAGAGAGATGTGGCTGGAGATGGAGGCAAGAGCATTCTGGGATATTATTCTACCCTTGTTCGTTGGCTGACGGGTGATGTGGGAGGAGAACGCCACAAAGCAGGACTCTGGCAGGATGTCCTAAGGATGCTGACAAATCCTCTCCCCCAAAGGCAACCATAAACCTGGACAGAGTTGTCAAAACCAGCTGCTTCCGTGCCCTGGGTGTGGACCACAGGCATGCAACAAACTGGGAAGCTTATTCCTCAAGGCCGGGAGCTTCAGGTCAGAACGGCGCTCCTCTGAGGCACCCCCCCCCCCCCCCCCCCCCCCCCCCCCGTCCCCTCCGCTCTGTGGCACTAGTTCAACTAGGGCAGCAAGGATATGGAAGTAAGTTCAAATCTTCGCACAAAGAAAAGCCCAGGCTGTGGTGGCTTCACCGGCCGGTCTAGCAAACACTTAAATAAATAATACCAATCCTCCACAAACTCCTGTGCGCTGCTTCCCATGCACAGCCACGATGGAAGACAACTTGGCAGTTTTTTACTAATCTAAGCATCGGTTTAATATATGGCCTAGAACTCATGCGCCTAAGTATTTACATAAGTGAACTGAAAAATTAGGTTCACGCAGATGTTTATAAGCAGTTTTGTTCGCAATCGCCAAAATTTGAAGCAACCAAGATGCCCTTCACTGCGCAAATGGATAAACGACTGTGGTACACCCATACAATGCAATAGTATGCAGTGATACAAAGAAACAAGCTGCTAACTTGCAGGATTCATCCATGCAACATGGGTGTCTCAAATGCATTTCTGATGTAAACCAGGAGGTGCAGGGATCTTTAAGAGGGAATGCAGACTTTGACAAATGAATTAATTCCCAAGCTAGAAAACGAATAACTAAAGTGAACACTAAAAAGACTTCAGATACTATTTTTACACTTTTAACACAGCACACCAGGACTTAGGCCCACTTAGGAACCGCAATGTAGTAAGGCCATTTACTTAAACTTGAAAAGAAAGCTGAAGATTATGGGGGACCTTTCTGCCCCTCTCCGATCCTAAGAATGATGCTGGTGACAACTGATTGTCTCTCACCTGTTCTTAAAGATAACATTAACTTTTCTTTTTAGGAGTATCAACCATTAAAAAAAATTGTTTCACACATGTCCAATTGCAATATTTCAAGCCATTCTACTGAAGTTTTTATGCCTTAATAGGGGTTGCTATTCGGGGCTTCAAAAAAGATTCAGAATAGCTCACCATCAAAAGCCTGAGGTGAGATAGCACAAATAATTCATCGAGTGGTAAAATTAAGATATTGAAAAATACAAAATCTTGATAAAACCTCTGCTGAAATCTGGCACTCATACTAGCTTCTAGTTCCAATTTTGTGTGTGTTTGGATGTGGGTATTTTCTATTAGACCTCATAACTTATCTGTTTTTTTAAAAAAATATATTTTATTTTTTACAGAGAAGAAGGGAGAGGGATAGAAAGTTAGAAACATCGATGAGAGAGATCGATCAGCTGCCTCCTGCATGCCCCCCACTGGGGATGTGCCCACAACCAGGGTACATGCCCTTGACTGGAATTGAACCAGGGACCCTTGAGTCTGCAGGCCGATGCTCTATCCACTGAGCCAAACCGGTTCGGCAACTTATCTGTTTTTTTTTGTGGGTTTTTTTTTGCCCCAAATTCCTGGCTCCCCTATGCCCCCCGCCTTGAGCCATTCAGGAGAAAAAGTATCAGCCATCATTCTCTATGATATACATTATATAACTTATACAGGCAACAGGTCAGGATAGCTTTATTGCTTATGCGGAGCTGTTCATGTAGCAACACCACTCCCATCCCTTGCCACTGCCTAATTCCATAAGCACATTTCCCTATACATTGAGACCTGGATGCATTATTAAGTCACTGCTACTTTACTTTATAGGAATAGAAAACGAACTCTCCTTACCCTTATAATAGTCTTTAAAGACTTGCCAGAGATGATTTAGCATACACGTTACTCTCCGTATTGCCAATTACTGTGGCGCAAAAGCAGACCCCAACACCAGGTCCGAGTGCCGGCCACCAGAGTTTGGAAGCGACCAGGGTTTGGCGATTAGCGTGCCGGATGAGAAAGAACCCCGTCCGCTGACACCCAAACTGACTGGGCCCCCTCCAGGGGCCCTGGCCGCACCGGGAACTCGCCGCGGAGGGACATCTGTCCCCACGATGTTCTGCAGTTGCCCAGCCATTGCTATTCTCGAGCCTGCCCAAACCATTCAGTCCGTGAACCATTGCTCACCCTTAAGTTGGAGCTTAGCCTCTCGACCCCCGGGCTTGGCAAAGCCGCGAGTTAAAAACCAAAAATTCAACAAAAGTCAAGGTTATCTGGGTACACACCTGGGAAGCTGCGGAGCTGCCCAACCTCGGCCCCAAGGAAACCTCGGCCAGTCAAGTTCACACAAACTGTAAACGACAGACGTCACAGGAAGGCGCCGCCGAGCAGTCCTGCGCTGCCATCTAGTGGCCGCGTGCTGAACCACCGCAGCAAGGGCATAGAGTGGGTTCCTGAGTAAATGCGGCCACCTTCAACACCAGTGAGTGAGAACACTCGCAAGATACCCACTGACATGAAACAGCCTGGATACTGGATATGTGGTTCCTTTCCTTAAAGCTGACTGCAGAAATCAACAGATTCCTAGTCCCCCGCCTGCACAGCTATAAGGACCAAGCCCACGCCTCCCCTCTTACACCTGGCCTGCTTCTCTTAAATCACTCTTGATATGTGAACTACAATTCCTGTCCTTGGCTCATTAGACTGTAAGCTCCACGAGGGCAGGTTCTGTCCACCTTGCTTACCCAGCCAGGTTTCATTTTACAACTGAGTGCAAGGCTGTAAGACATTAATTCCTGGCTGGCTCCTCGAGACTGGATTCTAAGGGCCAACCTAGGAAGAGACTTTTCTGGGAAGGGTCAGATACAGTACTTTAGTCAGTGCCCAGTCTTCAAATGTCTGCTACTGCACCCTGGTGGGCGATGGGCAGGCCTGCCTGGAGTCCTCAGCAATGGAGCATGCTATGGGCGAAAGCCCGGTGGCTCGAGCGTCAGCTTTTCTCAGTAAGATCAGGCTACAGCAAGCCTGTCAAACTCTTGGCCCATGGGCCGCATGCCTTGTTTATTTGGCCCGTGTTAGCCTTTGAGTTTGACATGCTTGGGCTGCGTTTCAGAGGCAAAACATCCAAACACATGACTCGTTAGGCTGCCTAGCTTCAAATTCCGGCTCCTCCCTTCACTAATAGCATTCCCTGAACAACTGATGTACCTCTCTGTGCCTCAGTTCCTTCACCTGGGGATCAGTGCAGCCTACTTCACTGGGCTGCGGTGAGGATCCAGGTAAATGAGCCATGCCCAGCACATCCCAAATGTCAGCTAAAATGTTAGCCATTCTGTCCTATTTAGTGCAGCTCACGTTCTGGGGCTCAGGAGAAGGCGGCTATCATCAGACAGTGCCATGTACCATTCTACTTCCAGGCATTTTCATTCCTCTCCCCAGCAACCCAGCAGAGCTGGTCCTGACTCACCATTTCACAGGTATGCGCCTAGGGTTCAGAGACTGCACATCTTTCTCCAGGTTGCATAACCAGTGAAGGGCCTGGCGCTGGAGAAGGCTCCCTGCACCTTGGACCGCTCACCTGCATCTCTGCTGGTTCTGAGTTAGGACGACTGGGATGGAGCCTGGCCAGGGGCACACACAGGAGTAAACAGGTCGAATTCCACCGCCTCCTGTGGACGTCACTGCCATCACAGCACACCCACTGGCCCGGCACAAAGTGTACAGAGCAGCATCACACCCCGCGTGGCACTGCTAGAGATATCAAGTGAAGGTCAGGACTCTCGGCCTAACGTGTCTAAAAATACAAGCACCTACCACAGCGACAATCCCAACGACCTTTCTTTGCTGGGCAGCAGTCACAGAACAGACAAGAAGTCCAAAGTGCTTTCCAGAGGGGGCTGAGCTGTACCTCCAGTCCTGCCAGATTCATCTAGAAAGTATTACTCCAGAAGAAGAAATGCCTCCAAAAAATGGCCTCGATTGAACGTTTATAGCTGGTGCTGCCATCAGCTGGCTGGCCAATCATCTGCACAAACTGGGCTTTTCTAACATGATGACACTGCAGGGCAGTGCCAGGGGCAGAAGAAACCACAGGCTGCTGTGGGACAATGGCTGTCCACGTGAGCCTCGGGTCTGTGTTAGGGCATGATGCCCACCACTAACATTCCTGAGACACTCAGGGAAATGGCCCACTTTTACAGGTGTAGATGGAAATATGAAAGCTAAAAGGAATGTCATAATATTTCATGCCATGTGAAAATGGTATGAAACTAAAATCTCAGTGTTCATACTAAAGCCAGTGTTACCTGTGGCTGCTCCCACACTGCAATGGCAGGTCTGAGTGGTGGTAACAGAGAGGCCTGGCCTACAAAGCCTGGAATATTGCCTAGTTACCAAAGATAAATTAAATATGGTTCTTCCAAAGGAAGCTTCTAGAAACTCTATGCTGAGTCAACACAAAGGGTGGGAGAAGCTAGGGGGCAACTGTTAGAACAGCTCATTCAAGAATGACAGCTGGGCCCTAGCTGGTTTGGCTCAGTGGATAGAACGTCCGCCTGCGGACCAAAGGGTCCCGGGTTTGATTCCGGTCAAGGGCATATACCTCGGTTGCAGTTTCCTACCCAGGCTAGGCCCTGGTCAGGGCTTGTGCAGGAGGCAACCAATCAATATCACGTCGATATTTCTGTCTTTCCCTCTTTTCCACTCTCTCTAAAAATCAATGGAAAAATATCCTTGGGTGAGGATTAAAAAAACAGGGAATGACATTTGGTGTGGCTCGGTGGTTGAGCGTGGATCCATGCACCCAGAGGTTGCTGGTTCAATTCCTGGTGAGGCCCTGGTTTGGCTCAGTGGATAGAGCGCTGGCCTGCAGACTGAAGGGCCCCAGATTTGATTCCAGGCAAGGGCACATGCCCAGGTTGAGGGCTCGATCCCCAATAGGGGGTGTGAAGGAGGCAGCGGATCAATGATTTCTCTCTCATCATTGATGTTTCTATCTCTCTCTCCCTCTCTGAAATCAATAAAAATACATTTTTTAAAAAGAAAATCTCACATAATAGACATTGATTCTGATGGAACTTCGGAACAAAATAAGAAAAATCCATTAGCTTATGAAGATAATCAATACATACTCACAAAGACATTTAAAGTTCTGAGTTTTTGGTAATGAGTATATGTTACTTTTGTGACCTAAAAAACTTTTTGTTTAGGCCCTGGCCGGGTAGCTCAGTTGGTTAGAGTGTTATCCCAATACACCAAGGTTGAGGGTTTGATCCCTGGTTAAGGCCCATATAAGAATCAACCAATGAATGCATAAATAAGTGGAACAAACTGATGTTTCTCCCCCCCGCCTCTTCCCCCCTTCTCTCTCTCTCAAATCAATGAATAAAAATTTAAAAAAAATTTAAACCATGATAGAAATTAACTGTAGAGTACATCTCAGCCAAATCTCAAAAATCTGACCTATAATTTGAAAGATGACATCTTCCTTCTCCATGATGGTTAACATCCATGAAAGCAAAACATTGAGAGGAAATAGAAAGCTATTATATTCAAGGTATCACTAGAATCTACAAAGCAATTTACTCTGCACTCCACACAGGATGAGGCATGGTGAGTCACAGCATATCTGCAGGCTGGCAGCCAGCCTGCCCAAGTACTGGAAGTGCAGAGAGTTAGGGGAAAGGAAGACAGTGGGAGAGGGTGTGACAAGCCTAGGGCACTTCCCAGACATCTACCACAATAGTTCGTTTTTTTAAAAAATTTTCATTGATTTTCAGAGAGGAAGGGAGAGGGAGAGAGAGAAACATCAACAATGAGAAAGAACCATTGACTGGCTGCCTCCTGCACGCTCCCTACTGGGGGTCGAGCCCGCAACCCAGGCATGTGCCCTTGACCAGAATCGAACCCAGGACCCTTCATTCCTCAGGCCACTCTCTATCCACTGAGCCAAACCAGCTAGGGCTACTGCAATAATTCTTTATCAATTTCTTTCTTTCTTTTTTTTAAGCCAGTCAAGTTTAGCAGTGGGGGTATCAATTTCTTTATTGTAATTGGCTGCTGGTAACTTCTAGGCACTCACTTCAATGGACTTCTCATGAAACTAAGAAACTTCATTAGTAAGAAACTTCTAGCAGGTGTCTAAGCCAGGGGTCCTCAAACTTTTTAAACAGGGGGCCAGTTCACTGTCCCTCAGACCGTTGGAGGGCTGGACTATAGTTTAAAAAAAAAACTATGAACAAATTCCTATGCACACTGCACATATCTTATTTTGAAGTAAAAAAACAAAACGGGAACAAATACAATATTTGTATTTGCATGTGGCCCGCGGGCCGTAGTTTGAGGACCCCTGGAGCATTTAGTAAAACAAATGTCCTCCCTGGCTGCTCACCTGGGTTGTCAGTAAGTGCTGTCCCCGGGGCTAGTCATCACATGCTCAGGCCCCACTGGCAGACATGAAAACTCAGAAGAACCCAGTGGGGCTCATCCATTTTTTTTGATAGTGGAAGGAGAAAAAAAGGGCTCTACAAAAACAGTCAAAGCTTATGGTAATAATTTTCTTTAGCTTTCTTTCCCCTGGGCACTCCTGCCCATCTCCCTCTCAATGAATTCACAGTGGCTGGTGTGTTCTCAAGTGTTGCTTTGAGACCATTGTAGTAGAGACAAGAGAGCAGACAGCTAAGATTTAAATGGAGGTCTTACTCCTTCCTTGGAAAGTCAGATTTCCCCTATTCTAAAAATAAATCCAAAATATTTTAACTGTTTTTCGTTAAAGTAGATGGTTCTACTATGGAGCCGAAACCTATGGATGTCATCTATCAAATTTCTATGTATTCAAGTGGTTATCAAGGACCTAAACATTCTTTTTTAAAAATATATTTTATTGATTTTTTACAGAGAGGAAGGGAGAGAGATAGTTAGAAACATCGATGAGAGAGAAACATCGATCAGCTGCCTCCTGCACACCTCCCACTGGGGATGTGCCCGCAACCCAGGTACATGCCCTTGACCAGAATCGAACCCGGAACCCCTCAGTCCGCAGGCCAACGCTCTATCCACTGAGCCAAACTGGTTTCGGCAACATTCTGATTCGAGCAGTGACTGCTCACAGCAAAGGCCTCCCTCCTTCCTTTTTCCAAGAAACCAGAATATAATCGCCCCATGCACTTCTCTTTCAGTAGACATCACAGAAACCTACATAATACTACATTTACTTACTTAGTCACTCCAAAAGCTGTACAGCTACACTGATCCACTTCCATTGTTAGGGGCAGAAATAGAATATTGGGGACTAAATATAGTTATAAGAAATATTAACCATGCTCTGTTAACCTTGATTGTTGTTCTAAATTAAAGTACATTCTAACCTGGCTGTGGAGTTGTACCTATAATCAACCTTGGAATGCAGTCCATTCTCATTCAAGAACTACCTATCAGGATTTTCTCCCTCCCCCTGTGGGAGTCTGTGCTTGTTTCTCAATAAATCTCTACCTTTTACTATAAAAACAAAAACAAAACAAAAAACTACCTATTATCATGGAAAGATTAACAACCTTGTTTGTTACCCAAACAATGAGGTCCCAACCCAGCCCGCATTGCCTGCTTCCCCAGGCCAATAAGACCATTTCGCTTGCCCATTCTTATTCCTTTTGCCTACCTCCCCATGTAATCTTAGTTCTTGTATCCCTTACAAGCAGATGGCTTATGGGGGGAAGGGACAAAACAAATGTTTACGAAGGACCTACTCCTCTCCCATACTGCTGGCACTATTGGAATAAATGCTCATACTATATGATTCAACCCTATCTCTGCTTCACTGGCTCCAGTAGTGAGGCAGCCCAGACCCACTGGTTGTCTGGTTTCGCTCCCATAAACACACCAATGCCTTCCTCTGCTAAAAGCCTGCTTTTGTTCAGGTCAATATTCTTCCTCGAGTCTCTTGAATTGTATTAGGCCCAAGCTCGGAGGATCTTAACACTTTCTCAGAATCCTCTCCATTTCCTCAAACTGTCCAGTACGAAGTGCCTTTGGGAAGGAGGAGTGGGGGTTAACAGAACTGCTCACATGCCTGTCACCTTCAGGCACCTTGAGGTCTCCTCTCCTTCCTTTCACCAATTGAAAGCAAAGTCATTTCCCCCAAATCCAGCCACTTTTTAGTCAATTACTCTATTTTGTCAATTGCTGCCACAATTAGTCATGAGATATCAGGTAATATTTTGCCATTTAAGTGTACTGTGTTCAACAGTACTGCATTCAAACTCTTCCCATTGAATGTTACAGGAAAATATACCTTAGTTCTTTCACATGGAAGGAATTCATTTCTGTAGAAGCTTGATAATTACAAGCTTTCCCATTTCTTCCCTCTCCTAAGCAGTCTGCTCACAATTAAGGAACATACTAAATAAAGCTGTCTCCTCAAATGAGCTGGTATTTGCTTTTAAAATTGTACTAAGAAAAAAGTAACACATACCAGTGGTGGAGAAGAGTAATTCCGCCAATGCTTCATTATCTGAGAGGGCACCTCGAGGACAGCATATAGAAACCCCCAGATGACTCCTGACTGCATTTCATCTGGGACAGTAACTGTGGCAACTGGTGCTTCTTTATGGGGGCTGCTGTCCTTTTAAGAGAAAAGGTAGCAAAACAATGTCCCCTTTAAATTCTAATAGCCTAGCATTTGCTGACTCCAAAGGGGCTGTACTCATCTTTCCAGTAACCTCTGATTGCCAAGGGGCATAAGCTAGGAAGGAGCTGATCATGGAATGGGGTCAAGTGTTGGGACTTATTGCCTCTACCCTACCCCCAAGACTCTCTGAAGAGAATAGCTTTTAGCTCCTTGAAGGCTTCTCTTGCCACATGTCTAAACTTCGGGGCACGTACAAATAACCTGGAGTTTTATTACGGTTGTTATTTTGTTAAGTAATATGGAACCTGGGGCCCAGCAATAATGATCCTGTTTAATAGATCCACAGGAGGCTTCATGAACCTGCATGCTTTTGTGGTAGGCAGCAGAGCAAGGACGATGCACTAGTTACAGAAGGTCACCAGGGAGGACGGACACCTAGGGATGAAGAAGAACTGGTAGAGCAGTCATTGGAGATATTCAAGACTTTGCCCTTAAGACTTCGCTCCACCTTAGAATGGCAGGTACTAGAGATAAGTATTGTTATTCAATCCTCACCCTAAGACCTCTCCACCCTATAATGCCTCAGGTCATGCAGGTGAGTCTCCAGATCTCTTCTCCCCAGGCATGTGGTTGCCCGAGGGGGCTGGAGGAAAGCCCCATTAACTTCCAGGCAAGGACACAAGAGACAGGACAGGCCCTGGTAAGTCAATTTGAAGAAGAAAGCAGTTAACTCCCCTAAGTTTTTAAAAGGAGCCCTAGCCCACTCTGCGGGGCAGCTCTTTGAGCCACTGGCTGCAATTTTCTATTTGAGTGTCCTACTTTGTCCTGGTAAATCTTATCTTCTCAGGGTTTGAGTCTTGGCTCTGAATTCTTTTCTGGGCCAGAACTCAAGTACTGAGGTTGCTGAACCCAGGTGTGGTCTGATCCCACTGGTCAGAGACCTGGAACAGCAGTTTTAAGAGCACCTAATGCTGGT